AGAACACTGGACCATCAAGGCCAGTATCCTGTCTGAAATGCTGTCAGTATCTGACACTTCAGGCTTAGTTGGGATAATAAAACATTTTCCTCAACCTTATGTAACATCTCGGCCTGGCAAAGAGGAGATTTAAACATTGATTGCTTTCCACTCCCCTCTGTCCCGCGAATGTGAATCTGACTCTTTTCCAAAATGAACAACTCTGATGAGCTGGAATTGGTTTCTGGGCAGGATGGGAAAAGCTCCTCTCTCGTTACTCATTCCTGGATAGATCCGCTAAACCTTTGCCTCCTAAAAGGGGCACTCGAATTAGGAGACATAAAACTCCATCCGCAAAATTCTGGGTGCCCAAGGCCACCCTTTCATGGAAGGTGGAAATGCGTGTTGTAAGACTTCATGTCTAGTCACTTTATTTTTCCCCATCATGTCTACTTCCTTTATTTTTTTATTTGTTTAAGCTCTCCATTAGTTTATTAGCTTGACAGCAGCCCAGTTAATTAGCCCGTCCTCCCTCCCTCCCTCCCCCAGCACCGGCGGCCTGTGAGGCTCCCCGAATGCACACAAAATTTAGTGCTGCTGCTGGGGCACTTCTCAAAACAAATAAAAGATTTGCAAAAGCAGCCACCAAGCATCCAACATAATTAAACTGCATTTGTTACCCTTTCGGCCCTCGCACACAATCGGGGCCTTGTGCGGAGCGAGCACTCCCCAAATCAGGCTGTTTTTCTTCTGCAGGGAAGAGTGCCAGGAGTCTCACCAGCCCAGGTAACATAAGATCCCAAGGAGCAGCAAATGGACAGTCCCAGCCAGAGTGAATGGACTGTGGGGAGATCTATATGAATGTGAATATCTATAGATATATGCAAACACGCACATACAGGGGAGTATAGTTCTGCAGGGGGAAAAAAAAGCAGTGGAAAGGCTCCTAGAAATTACTGCTCCATGCACAGGTATGTAAATGACTCTGGAGTCTTGCTGTCCACCACCTCAATCAATTACAAGGTTATTCAAGATAAAACAAACACCATTTCAATTAACTGCACATACAGCAGTGGTTAGAGGCACACGCAGGGAAGAGGAAGTGGGAGGAATTTTTGGAAAATGGAACTTTTTTTCTACTTCTTCTGGAGATATGCACAAATAGAGGTTGCCTTGAGGTGCTGTGAGTGGAGTCATGAATGGTCTTAAAAACTCCAGCCTAAAGCCATCATGCTCTATACTAAAGACAAAATGAGGGGGGTGAAATGGGAAAAAAAATGAGTGAGCATTTAAACATCTGTTTAGTTTGTATTGGCACAAATCGACTATTTGTGAGAGGAAGTGGGAGCAGAAATCGGGGCAGATGCTCAAGGATCCCTAATTTTGTTGGAGACAGGATCCAGATAACAAGTCCCTCAGCAGTTGTGTGTGAGCACAGCTTCCTGACCCCGATGGCCGGGAATGCTGAAGCCTCGCAGGGCGAGGACACAGCTGGCTGAGAGAATCTGACAACAACCTGCAAATTCAGTGGTGGGTTGAGAAGACAGAGGAGGAATGAAGACACAGGAACTGGGCAAACAACATCAGGGTCATTTTCCACCTGTGCCACAGACTTTTACCTCACCCTGAGCAAACCATTTTACCTCTTTCCCTCACTTTTCACACTCCTGTGCAAGAGGCAACTCCTCAACCTTCAGCCGTCTGATGCATTCACAATATGAGCTTTGCAGGCCACTCAACAGAGGCTTCGTTCTCCCTTGGGTCTGTGTGTGCCACCACTGGACTGTAAATCAGCTCCTCTGGTCATAATCCATCACATTCTACATGACCAGAGGCATCCGGCCCCCGAGGGCACAGCTGGTTGAAAACAGGGCACACAATGTCTGCCATATTAGTGAATAAGTAAAATTGCATTCTCTGCCTTTCTGGGAATTGGCTGAAATTATATTTCTATTGTTATTTGTCAATTGAAACGATGGACTAAGAGTTTCTGGTCAAAAGTTCCTGCAGGCTGTTCCCCTGCAACCAATACAATATTAAATATGACTTTTGTGTGATTTTTCTACTTGTTTGGCTGATGCAGTGAAACTTATGATCAACTGGCTTTTTGAAAAAAATCATTCTTTATTAATCAAATATTTCTAGATGAAATACACCCAGGCCAGGAGATAGGAACAAAATTTATAGCCACAACACCATAAATCACTGTCCAGCTTCTTGCTCACGGTCATAAGCAATAAATTTATTGCAGCTACAGAGTTTTCATCGGTGACTTCAGCCACAAGAGCTGACTGTGAGTCTGCTCCCAGCCCCTGCAACAAGGAAAAGCAGGTGTATTTGTTGACTCCCATTTGGAGGGCATTGGAATTCTGTTACACTTCCATGTCTGCTTTCCCATCACTTGAATTTATATTTGTGACAGAGCAGAAACCCCAACGTCCTCACTTATTGTGGTCCCACCTAATGGGCAGTAACTTCTTGGGAGCAAACTCCACACTTAATCCATGCCAACCTTCTCTTTCTGACTGCAAAGAGTGAAGAGAATCTTGAATTTGGGGAGCAACTGAATCAAACCCAGAGCTGATAATTAGCACTCCTTCAGTAAAGATTCAAACCTCAAACCCCTGGCATTTAAAGAGGTACTCGTATAGGAAGATGAGTTCCAAATGGCCTTGATTTCAATGCTTAATTAAATTCAGAAAAACCAACTCTTCCTGAACCCTTTTTCCTTTGCAAAATGTTTTTTCCTCTTCTCCATCAAACTCACTGCCAAGAGCCACCCTAAACATCCAGAGCTCCCTGCTCAGCACAGGCACAGCGTTGGGTTTTTTGTGTATTTCCCAGGACTATTAACAGAGTAATATAATGAGAAATGAACTGAGGTTAAAGAATTCAGTACCTCGTGTATTTTCACTAAAAACACTCACTGCATCAGGGGACCTGCCAAGAGGAGAGTTTAATATTGTATGAAAAGGAAGAATTTTCATAATGACACTTGGCAGTGGCTGCATCCCCCCCATGAATGGAGCTGCTGGGGCTTTCTCTCCTCTGCTCTCCTATTCTCTCTCTCCTCTCAGCCCAATGGCAGGACAAGGGATTTTCATTTTGAAGGGCTGGGAACAATGGGAATGAAGATTTGGGCAACCCTGCAAGGGGTGGGGGACTCCCACAGCCTGTGGTCAGGCACCTCAGTTTGGAAGGTACTTCGGGAAAGAAGCTTTTCAGGCTACGCTGCTTCTGTCAAAAGGGGAAAAGTGGATCCAGAATACTCAAAACTGCCTAAAAATTTTAATCTGCGTGAATCTTTCTCCCTGGTTTCCAGATCTAGCCAGTGAGCCAAAACAATTACTTCCTTTGTAAATTTGATTTGAGACTTTTCAATGCAAACAGCAGTCGCAGGAAGAATCACCTGAGCCATTAAGACCCTTTCAGCTCCAAACAAACCAGCTACAAGGATACAGCAAATCCCACATTTTGCCTTCTATCCTTTTATACCTGGTGACTCTTGCCAAATTGCCCAATTCTGATTGTATTCACACAAGCACTCCATTAGTGGTTGGAGTTATATATTCTCTTACAGTGGTGCTTGTTCCCTTATTTCTCACTCCCACCTATTTGAAAACTTCATGCCATAAAAAAAGAAAAAATAAAATAGAAATGAATGATTGAACAGGGATAATAATGTTTTCCATAACGTAGACCAAACGTTCTTGATATATTCTGTTTTATTATGCAGTAAACACTAGTTCTCAGTGAAAAGCTCATGGTGTGGCAGAAACTGCTCCCAGTCCCCAGTGATGGACTGATTTCAAATGGTTTTATCATTTTTACTAAAATTTCGGTGTCAAAATTTTGTCTGACTCAAATCAAACTTAAACCTGACAGGCTGCCCCAGCACATTTTTAGGTGGAACAAATACAACAAAACTCTCGCATGAGAAAGGCCCAACACCAGGAAAACAGTTCCCTGTGGAGAGATGGAAGAGCTGTGGTCCCATTCTGCTCTTTCCAGGTGACATTTGTGAATTAAAACAATCCCACCGAGATTTTGGGGGCTCAATATCCACCCTCAGGGAGTCACTCCAACCCTGCAGCAATAAAACCGAGCACACAGAGCTCGTTTTCACTGAGACTCTGGGTATAAAGTCAGCAGAAAAATACCCTGGAATGAGGATTACAGAATGTAACTCTCCTTCAGAGGTGACGCAGGGCCCTCATTTGCAAGTGATAAATGTCACTGCTCTTCCATCTGCAGCCTTTTAAAACCATTTTGAGGGAGGTGTAATGAGGCTGCACAGCCTTGGAGGGACAGGACAGGGGACAGCCGAGTCATCTGAGCTTTATTGAGTGTGTCATGGGAGACTTGTCCTTTTTTTTTTCCCCCTTTTTTTTTAACAAAATGAGGTGCCCCAGGGGAAAGTCAGCAGCTAGAAGCGGCCCCACCTGAGTGTGTCTTGGGAGGAAGCCTACTGCCTCATATTTTTTAAAAGGGAAAAAAAAATTATAATAATAGAGCCGAGCCAAAAATATCAAGCAGCTCCTAGCTGTGAAAAAGCCAGGGAAAGCTGAGTCGCAGCCGGTCAGTGTTGTTCTTCCAAACAAGCTGACCACCCTCCCTTCATAACATTTTATTTATTAAAGCGAAATTGGCCCACTGGAGTAAAATTATGCCATATTCATACGCATATACATATGTATATATAATTAGGTATGCGCGCACACACACGCAGTTATTCATCGCTGCGTTTCTACACAGAAGGTCCCTCTAGATTTTTCGGTGTGCAGACTACTGAATTTGTTAAAGGGGGAGAAATTTAAATGGTGTGGACGGGACGTGGCTATAATTCGGTTATAATTCATTTACAGCTGTTATAATTCAGATATAATTCGTTATAACTCAGCGCAGGCCTCGGGGCGCCTCAGGCCGCACCAGGCCCTGCCGTTGCCGTGGCAACAGGGAGCCTCTCTCCCATTGGTCCGCGCAGGGCGCAGCCAATCAGCGACCGGGGCTTGGCCCCCCAGGAAAATGGCGGCGGCGGGAGCGGCCCCAAGCTCGGGGTTTGCTTTATGGACTTATTTTAGTAACTCCGTCCTTATCCAGCCCTTCAAAGCACCTTCTCACGGAGAACAGAACCCTGTCAGTTCTGGGATTCTGTGATCCTGTGATGTTAGCAGTTCACGCACCAGAAAATCTCCAGGGACCTTCTGGCTGAGCGTTGTATAGAAACACAGCCATAAATTACTGCACTTACATTTACATCACTACGCTATTACATGAAGGCTCAGATCAGGAGCAGCACCTTCTGTTTTCCTCTATTTATTTTTTTTTTTCCTGTGTGCTCATTCCCGTTTTAAAGTCCCCCCCTATTTACCTGCAGCACAGTCTAGACAGCTAATGAAATAATAAGAGCCCAGCGGGTTTTTACAAGAACGTAGACAAAAAGAGCATCAGAAATAAATATATGAGTAAGAATTGGAAGGTCGATGGCTGGGTACTGAGTGTGCCACAGGCAAGGGTGTCCCGGGATTATGAGGTGCGTTACTGCCATTCCTAAAATCCCCAAAGGAATCACCCCGTTGTTCTAAGGACCGTGTAGGAACAGCAGGTCACATTTATAAAATGTACTTAAAGATGTAGTTGAATCCCAAAGGGATTTTTCCAGACAGTTCATAAAACCAGCTTGTGAGTCACCCCTGGAAGCTATTGGGAGTAAGGCCTGGAACTTATCTAGGTGCTTTTAATAAATCCTGCTCTTTCCATATCGACATGATTAAATGCATAATATGCTTTTTTTAAATGTGACCCAGTGTTTATGCAGTGCCAAGAGCAGCAAGCTGAGCACTAAAATGCTCCGTACTTCTGGAAAATAGTGCCTACTCTGGAGAATCCAAAATATTAATGAGCAGGTAGTGTGCAGTCAGACTGAGACAGAGAAATGAAGCTTTTTCCTCTAAAAACCTCCCAGCAGGGCTTTAATCTTTTAATTTTTAAAGATGCTTTTGTTTAGACTTTAAATTTCAGAAGTTGCCTCTGAACTATCAAGGCCAGATTCTTTCATTCCCTCTGTTCGCTGCAGGTAATTCCCTGTCGAGCATCCTGACCAAAACAATCAGGCATTGCTGGATTCCTGTCACCCTCCACACAAGGCATGAAAAAGCAATGGAGGAATAATCCTCTGGAAAACCCAGTTCTCGCATTCCCCCTCCTCACAGCGGAGAGAAACAGGGAATAATCGTCCCTGGTGCCGCTGCCTGTTCCTTTCCCTGCTGGTTGCTCATCAGCCCCCTGGTTGCCCATCGGTTTTTCCAGCCCGTGGAGGGTGTTGTCGCGTGGTCCTTCCTCCCGTCTTACTCCCGGCTGTTGTTTCTGGAGCTGCCGGTACTACTGCTTGGCACGGCTCCCCCGGTGACTCCGAGCTGGTGGCAGCAGGGCTGAGCCCTGCCCAGCGCTTTCCCAGGAAGGCCTGGCTTCCTCTCAGAGGAAAACCAGCTCAGCCCCCGGAGCGTGTCTGCCCGTCCATCGGGGAGAAAATAAAAAGTGATTCAGCTTATTTTTGTCTCCCCGCTGACGTCCCCGGTGAAGCGGAGCTGGTGTGGTTTGATTTGAAACACGGTCCTTGCTTACAGCAGGGATTTTATTTGAATGTTGATTGTTTGTTTATCATTCCCTTCTATGTGTATGGCTGGGTAAAAAGCCCTTTTGTTTTGAAGCGTCCTGTGAACTGCAGCGGGAAGCTCAGGAACTCCTGGTGGACTGAATGAAACATAGTCAATGATAATAAAATTATAGAAGGTTGGAGCCAGGAGGAAACTAAGTAGATGGTGTGGTTGGACTTCCCACACTAAACCTGCACTTGGATGTTTGCTGGCGTGTTCTTAAACGTTTTTAACACCTCCAGGGAGCTTCCATAACATTGTGAGATGGATCTTCTGAATGTTCCACCTTTGTGACACTGAGAAGCTCTTGACTTACTTGGCAAAATTGAGCATGGAAGAAATTTAAATTGCTCTGAAGTGCCCTCCTCTAACTGAAATAGGTTAGAACTAAACATGTGTTGTTAGAACAGGAAGATATTTGGAATTTGGAGTGAGTTAGGGGTTTTTTTTCTGAGATGTTTTCTGGTTTATTTGGGAACTTTAAATTGATGACTTTAATGGTGGAACGGGTGTATTGGTTTTATACTACATTTATACTACATTCCTGGAGGATAACTGAGGATCAGGAATCGAGTACATGGTGAAAACAGTGATGGAATCCTGGGTGACAACATTACTCCTTACACATTTCAGAAGTGGATGCAGAGGGAGAATTCAGGCCCAAAATAAAGTCTTCCTTACCTGAGCTGAACATTTTTCCCTCTCAGATGAAAGTTATTGTATCAAATTCAGTTGAGACGCCATGGATAAGCCATGAGTGGCTGGGAGAGGAAATCCCAGTTTATCTGACTCACCATTTTTGTGCAAATATTAACTTTGGCTGGTACACATTTCTCCTGATATCTCTTTTCCAGATCTGAGTCTCAGAGTACATTGTCTTGGCTATATTGAACTGTAGCCTTTGGTTACTTGAATAACTTTCATTTTTAACAGTTTTATCTATTTATTGTATCTGAAAGGTAAAGAAAATGCAGTTTTCCCCATTACTCTGCTTCTGGTGATGCAGTATTAAATTCTGCACCAGTGGAAAACTTAGATTTAATGGTGGCAAAAAGCACAATGCAGAGGATTTAGTTTTCTTTGCTAAAAGTGGTGGAAAACCCTCGAAGATGGCAATCCCAACTTCCCAGGATCTACCTGCACTTTTATCCCCCACACTCTCTGGTTTATTTTGTCCTTGGAAGAAGAAACATTGGTGGACACTGGAGTTGACCTTTAATTTTGAAAAATGTTCATATTCTCTGTCAAAACACTCTTCATGGTTGCTCCCACCAACCAGATTGTTGTTTCTATTCAAAATTATCAAAGGTGATGAAGAGAGAGGAAGTTAATTAAATTAATTCAATTAAATTGATTCAGATGTCCATGTGTTGCTTGTGCTTCATTCATACAAACCAGGGGGGTCAACACAGAGGAAAAGAGGAATGCAGAGCTGGAATCCACACTCACAGATGTGGCTTGGGGATGCTCAAAATAGCCAACATGTTTTTCCCCTGTTCTGTAATTCCTTTACAGAATGGGTAAAATAAACTGTTGATAAGGAACTGTTGCTCCGAGCCAGGCTGGAAAGGAACTGGGAAAGGCTCCATGAGCAGCATTAAGTGAGCAAGGCAGAATTTCCAGGGCATCATCTGGTAGCTCTGCCTTGTTTTGCTGCTTTGCTTAACATTGCCATGTTTTGTTTTGTTTAATTTTGGGTCCTTATTTCATCTTATTTTTTGACTTCTGGACTGTTGCAACTTCCCCGAGTAAGTCCCTTTGCACTTATCTTATCTGGGTTTCCTAATTTCCACTATTAGGTGATGTCTGACACCTTCTTTGCTCAGATCTGGCTGTCTGGACACACAGTGAGTCACTCACTCTCCCCCCATATCTTCCCACCTCCCCTCACCCCCACAAGGAGGGGGGGACTGTTTTCCTCAGGTTGTCATGGTCCATTGGAATGAAGGGCACACCACACATATGAGTGGTTCAGATGAAAATCTCACTGCTGAAAGGTGTTCTGTTAATTCTTGTGGAGGGAATAAAGACAGAGGATGTAGCTTTGGACAAGGGGAATGGGCAGGAGATGCTTTCAGCTTGCTGGAAGAGTGGATCTGTAACAAAAATGAGCTCTAGAATGCAAGTCACTGCCTCCAGAATGAGGAATGACTCCAAATATTAAGCAAAGGTCTGTGAGAGGAGGGAGGACAGCAATGCTGTGATTTCATCCATATTTATCTGCTCTGATAAGATTCCTGACAATTGCTTTCTCAGCCCTGAGGTCTTGGACACTCAACTTCCTCTTCACTTTCTGGTCTCCAGCATCTCAGAAAAGCCAAGAGACCTGCCCTGGGCCGAGGTGCCAGATTAAACCTGGGATTAAAGCCTGGGATTGCTGAACAGTAGCTTTGATACACCCAGAGCTGGTCCCATCCACAGCCTGGGGCTTGGAACTGCATTCCAATGGGTATCCCTAATTCCCCCAGTGCAGAGAACAATCCTGTGCAGTCACTCTGCTTCCTGTGCATTGTGACTGCTGGCTGATGACCAGTGTTCACCAACCCCACGGACTCACTTGCAAGTGTGATGCTCGGCTAAATAAAATTGTTTCCAAGAAGGCCATCATCATTAATCTTTAATTAATGCCTGGTGTTCAGTGTAAGATGTGATTGCCCATGTTTGGAATTGTGGTGGGAATAAGGCAGGTGCCTCAGACTGGGCTGGAATAGCCTGTGGTACAGAGGAGAGCTGGGCTGCCCCCATTCCATCCCTGCCAAATGATCCAAGTGGCTCAGCAGTGGCAGAATTTGGCAGGTTTCCCTGCCCCAAGGAGTTTGCAATTTGAAGGAGTGCTGCTTTCTTCATCCTGCTCTTAGAGCTGTTCCCATGTCAGTCAGTGGGATGAATTCCCATCTTCCTTTTGTTGACATGTAAATGGAGTTTGTCAGGACTTTGCCCAACTTGCACGAGGAAAGTTTCCTTTGACAGAGCCTGGCAGGTCACAGGGGTGTGCTCAGGGCTCTGCTCTCCCACCTTTCACCCCTGGAATGTGCTGCAAGGACAGTTTGGGGGGCTGAGTTGGGGAGAAAAGGGAGGCTGACAAAGGCCAGCACTAAAATCATAAGGCACAAGGAGCTGCTGTGAGTCCTTGCTGGTGGATTTATGTTGGATTTGAAGAAGCACCTGGTATGGGAGTAACAACTCCCAGGTTCCTCACTGAGTCTTGCAGAAGGAACAATTAAAATATAATTTGTTTATTATGAGAAGGACAATTAAGAATGAATTGATGGATGAGTTGCTGCTGTATTTGGGAGCCCCAGGGATCCTGTTCTGAAGTGCCTCTTAACACTTCCCACTTAGTTGTTAGATCTGAAGTAAAAATTGTTAATGCATTAAAATGTACTTGGCCTCAGTGTATTTTCCAAGTAATTTCCGTTTTATTTATTAAGCAAAAAGAAATCAATGCTGTCAATATTCATAATTTCAGCCTTTGAAAACATTCTTACTGTGGTATCAAGGGTGATAAAAACATCTTCCGGAGCAAGAGGAAGAGCAAGAGAACGATGGAAGCCTTTAGTTCCCATAAATTTAATTCCTATAAAGTCTGGACACCCTGGGTGGATGCCTTGGCTCAAAAATGACCTCCTGGCTCCCCCTTTTAGTCTTGGTTTTTAGTTGGAGCCAGGAGAAGGATCCCAGCATTTGCCAGGTGAATGAGAGCTGTACCCTGGCACGAGGCCTGCAGACCCATTACTGGTTTGTAGATTAAAATAAGGACAGGGAAAGGGGTGGAGAGGGAAAGAGAAAGGGAATAGCAAAACACTTTGTTCTAATTCAGGTGCAGAAGTTAATCTGGGTGTCCCCACAGCCCGTCTGCCACGTACAGGGTGGAGGAGGAACAGCCTCCTTTTCCCCGGGTGTTATATTCTCTAATTCCCCCTGTGCCAGCCCCCAGGAACAATTGCAGGCTGCTGCCAAGGTCTGTGCCTGCTCAGGCATCATTCCCGTGGGGAAGCTCCGGGAATGGCTTGGCTGCCCTGGGAGCAGTCAGCACTTCCAGCCCGGGAGCAGCTCCTCAAGGAGTGTGGGCTGCTGGTTCCAGGGAAGGGTGGGGACAGGATTTCTGGCTTCTGGTTGTGGTGTTGTGACTGAACTGCTGCAGCTTTGGCCCCAACATTTGATCTCTGGCTCCGTTCCCTCAGCCTGAAACCAGGGAGGATCCTGATGTGACCATAAGGAGCTTCTGAACGGGGGGATTTCGGGGCCTGGTTCCAAAGCTGGACCAAGCAGAAGTTCTTACACCAAATTTCACTGCCTGGTCCATCCCAGTTTTGAATGAACCACTTCTTTTTGTGGAGTTTTAAGTCTAGTGGACTTTCCAGTGAGGGCCAGATTTCACAGAATCATGGAATCATGGAATTATTTGGGTTAGGAGGGACCTTAAAGCTTATTATCATGCCATGGGCAGGGGCACCTTCCACTAGCCCAGATTGCTCCAAGCCCCATCCAACCAGGCCTTGAACACTTCCAGGGATGGAGCAGCCACCACCTTTTATATTCTTATACATCCACATTTCCTCTTATATTAGGGAATAATTTCTGTTACTAAGCCCCTTAATTCTCAGGTTTACTGGGACACAATGAGGAAGACATTTGGTCACATGTAATGACAAAGATATTGTTCTGCTCTCTATTGAAGGCAAAACCCTGAAATTGAATATTTCTTTACATTTTCAAACAACAACAAAAACTCAAACAAAAACTGACCAAACAAAAAAACCCCAACAAACAAACTTAACAGGGCTTGGAAATCCCTCCACACAAATTCATTTCTAACAGGTTTGTTGCTGCCATTTTATTGTTCATTTTTTGTCCCTGTCAGAATGATTTCCATCACTATTTTAGAATGATTTTTTTATGGAAAGGAAATTCCATTTTCAGACAGGTTTTGTACTAATCAGTTGAAACGAACTGGGAAGACAAGATAAGCAGAGAGAGCAGGGTAGGAGTTAGAGGATATGCTTGGCCTGGGAAAGATTAGTTCACCTGTATGACAAAAATTATCCTTTGGCTCAGGCAGAACCCTTTTCCTGTGAATTGAGTTGGTTTCTAATTGATTACACGCTGAGGTGACTCAGATGGCTGAAAGGCAATGCTGGTACGTTTTTAAACTCTGTTATTGAAGAGATCCCCCTCTCAAACTCAGCAGTTTTAAGCTGCCGTGTTTCCCGTGATCGTGGCCATCGGTTCCCCGGAGTTCTGTGTGACCTGGAGATCTGAGTTCAGGCCTCTGCAGGATTTATGTGCTTAATAACCATTAGCAAATACTAAATTATGGTCCAGTTCCATCTCCTGAAGTGGCTGAGACCCTCAAAGCCCCAGGGGAGGGATGGTGCATGTTTTCCTTCTTTTGGTCCCATCATTATTTCACTTAGATGATCTTTTCCTAAAATGCAGCAAATTTCACTTTGAGGCCCAATATATCCTGTAATTTTCTGACTGGCCATATGCAATGTCTCATGAGAAATATGCCATCATAAAACCCACCTGAAGTTCTCTAAAATATCTATATTCTGATATTGCTGAAGACTATTGGAGAAACCCTCTCTCAGGGCTGCCTTGTATTTATTTGCCATTGTTTATGCTGAGTAAACTCCTTGGAGACAAGGAGCAGATTCCTCAGAGAACTTGTGGTTGGATCAATTTGTGGAGCTGTTTCCATGTTTTCTGATGCAATCCAGTGTAACAATATTGTATCCCAGTAAACATGGAAATGGAGCAAGGAAAACATTTCTCAATCGACTTCCTAAAAATACTGCTCTGGGTGGGGAGGGGCTCGAGTTTTATTCCAGGAGCTCGTTCAAGCCCTCCTCGGTTTCCACAATGTCTCAGATTTTACTTGGTCTTATATTTCATGTACTTATAGATTGGGAAACAGAGCATTCCATGGGCCAAATGCCCACGAGCCTGACATGCAATAACCATTATGGAGTCAAATGTGCATATTCCTGGGTGGAAAGGTGCCAGCCAGGGCTGGAAGCAAACTTGGCAAAGTGGGCAGATCCTCAAGGGTGATCCTGGGAGGGGCTCCCTCCAATTCCCTTCTCTGACTTGGTGTTTGAATATTCTGGTGCTTTGTTCTGTAGGGGGATAAAGGGTGATGTCTTTAATGTGTTAGTTTGGTATTCTGGGATTTGGGGGTTTTTGCTTTGTTTTAATTGTCTTCCTCCCCCTCCTTGCCCGAGGACTCCTCAGTTGGAACCCGATGAAAATACAAGTCCTTACTGAGCTCCTGGAGAGGAGGGAGGGAATGACAGGGTACCAAAATCACTGGGTGAGCAGCAGTAGTTAGATGGGGTTGTAAAACTCATTCCTATGCCTG